ATATTCCTTCTTTGTTGTCTAATGTGTTGTTGACCAGGGAGTTTCATTAATAACTGGGACAGCCTGGATGTATATTGAGCGGAAAGATCAAGGGCTGAGGTACACAAATTATTAAACCAGCTAAATTGGATTTCATTGAAGTAGTAAGGAAGGAGCTTAGCCAGACCAGAAAAAGGCTTACAAAATGTGCCTGCTGACTGATTTATTAAAGATGCGAGAGTGGATTAAATGTTTCTGGGATGATGAAGCAGACAAAATGTGTATCAAAAGTAATCTATTTGTGGTCAGAGACAAAATCATGCATATTCAGGGAACTAAGAGACAGATCCAGAGTAAAAACTTAGGTCAAAGGTGTGCCACAGTTATGTGTAGGGCCAGATGTGCTGCACAAGGTTAAAAGATTTACAAATGTTTAAAAAGTCAGTGGCAAATGGATTTGAAGTTTTATCAATATGAATGTTAAAGTCCCCAGCTATAATGGCCTTATCAAATTTGAGCACAAGAGAGGACAGTAGCTCAGAGAATTCATTGAGGAAACCACTGCTGGAGTTGGAATTGGGGGGACGGTAAATGATTATACAGCAGATGGGGTCTTCACGCACAATTTTAAAAGTTAAGATTTCAAAACTGTTTAAAGAGCTGAGGCTGATGGGTTTTTAAAGACAACTGCAATACCCCCACCCCGGCCTGTTAGTCTTGGTTTTTAAATTAAAAAAAGAGTAACTAGGTGGGCAGAGCTCTACTAGAGGGGAATACTCCCCAGGCTTCAGCCAGGTTTCAGTAAGAAACAGAAAATCAAGGTTATGGTATGTAATTAGATCATTGAGAATGAAGGATTTGTTAGACATAGACTGTGCATTCAGAAGGGCACAGGCAACTGGGATAAGGGGTTTAGCTGGAGTGGAAGTACCACAGTAAACCGAAACCATATTATGAGGCCTAACAGTACTGCATAGAGTAGTAGAGTAGTTTTAAATCTAGGCATAAGGAATACTGTAAGAGCCGGGGGGGTGTACAGTCAAGTGGACTCACTGCAGGTATAAAGGCTTTACAGGAGTACAGAGTCAGGTCATTGTTGGTGGATAAGAGGCGTGAGACTTCCTGTGAGTCTGCAAAACCCTGGATTACATGCAATGACAACACAAATTCTTCCAGCTACAGTATGATTCATTTCACATATCAGAGAGTGGTTACAGGTCTTGGGGAGTATTGCTGCATGTGTGAAAAAAGGCCAAGACTTCCTTTCCGTTCATTAGAATAGAGTTAATCAGATACGATTCATGTATCCGATGAAAATGGCACTGCGACAGCTGATTTTACACATCAAATTATAACAACTAAGCCAAATTGTGAAATATATAAAAAAAAAATCAGGTTAACAAGAGGCTGCATTTCACATGTTACTTCTACTCTACAAAACTGCAGACTACTGTAAGTCTATGCAGAGTCAAACTCATATTTAGGCATAACCGGTAAACCAATTTATTCACAGACCATAAAATCTCAAGAGTGCGTGTTATGACAGGACGTCTGACATTCCACTCCACTACATATCAATGAACTCATAAAAGATTTGTATAAAACTTAGTCGTTTTTTAGTTAAATAAGTTGTTTAAGGTACCACTGTACCACTACCATTGTCACTGTTTTTGCATATGATTCATGGATTCAGCAAATTCAGGCTGTTGCTGTTGACCAGCTCAACATCATTCTGTCCTGTATAATCAGATTTATGTGAGTCATAATTCTCTCTAATCTCTAAAGGAACAACCATCTCAGGGATCCTTGTTATCTTTTGTTTGGACTGTAAATGGGTAAAATACAATATTTGGATACCTATCCCATGCGTCCTGTAAGCCCGGTGGTGTTTTCAGCAGCTTTGATGCCGGACAAATTTATGTTTGAGGGAGAGTTTATCACTCTGAAACCAGCTCTGAGGAGATCAGAGGCATGTTTTTTTCAGAATCAGGAAGCTAATCTGGCTCAGAGCATAAAGGGTAGCTGGCCTACCTTCTTAGCAAATGTAGAGCCATGCTCAAACTTGACGCCAATGTTTGCTAACGCAGAGGATTAGCCTCTTCTGTTTGCTTGCACTTTGAAGTTGCTGATGTGTTATTCCAGCATTACTGGGCCTAAACATATCCTTATTTTGGCATGACTCCCAGATGAGATTCTAGCTTCTAAAGGTGTTTTATGATAGAATGATTAAATGTGGTTCAATCTGCCTTAGTGAAAAAGATGACCCCTGTGTGATTAACAACACTCAGATAACCACTTCACACTGAAGTGCCTATAGACAGTGCTTTCACTGCCAGAGATTTGAAGTGGGGGTATTCACCTTAATTATAAGTAGGAAATGATTATGGTAATTACAGTGGAAGCATTTCTATGCATTTCATCGCATCATGAGCCATCCATGTCTGACAGAGAAATTATTTTTTATTTTGTAATAAGACTATACAGATGTTCACATGCTGGGGCTTACAATGCAGCTCTGTTGATTATGCTTTAGTGCTTCACCATGACCAGGTGAGTCTGCATCCCAGTGGTAACCTAACCACAAACAAAAGGAGGAACAACACACAACAACAAGATTTAATAGACATGCTAGCAGCTCTGTGAGGCTGTAAAATGTGTTTCTGACCTAGCAGTCAGTGGTGGAAGAAGTATTCAGATATGTTTTACTTACTTTACCTCTAGGATTTTCCCCTAACCCTTTTTTAGTCTGTACTTCCAGGGAAAGTATGCTCTACTTACTCACTAATTTCAGGAAAGCATTCTCTACTGGTAGAGTAAGGACACCTCCTGAAGAGTGATCCAACCAACATGTATGAAACCCTCACATTGCTGTACTTAGCCATGTGGTTTCTGTGTAATTAAATAATAAAAACATTTAATAACTCTCTGAATGACTCATTATTGTGCATTTAAAGATGTATATTATTACATTACAGCATTATTTGTGTTTTGTCCTGGGATGACAATACAAGACTTCCATGAATGTGCATTTGAGAGAGAGTTTGCTTTGTATTCCTGCCGGCCTGTTATGAGCAAATTTCTATAGGCTACTATAGATCCATTTCAAAACATGTTCCAAGTAGGCTATAGGACAAAGCTGGAATGAGTGAAGCTTGCCTGCTGACATGTTAAAATGACTGTCACAACTGCCATGAGCAAAGAGCAAAACCATTTGTTTATAGTGTAGGCTACAGTCGCCTATTCAATATTGAATGAAGTAGGTTACTGTACACTCTTTGTCACTGTACAGAGTAGACAATATGATTTGCTTGTACAGCACCTTAAAAAACTCACTGTAGCCTATATTCATAGGCACACCCAGCCTCGCTTTCAATATAACACACACTCGCATTCAAACTATATCTTTAGACAGTGAGTCTCAGAGGTGTTTGGGGCCAAGTACAAGAACTTCAGTTCAGAGTTTCACATCAGAAAATTGCAGCTCATCCAGGTTTTTATGTCCTTAAGACCATGCTTGTAATTTAGATAATTGATTCATTTCCTCAGGCTTGATTGATAGATAGATAACTGGGTATCATCTGTCCAGTTTAGCAAGTTGTCTGTGCTGTGGTTTGTTCAATAACCCGATTGAAGTTTTTTGTTGAATGATGAACCAGAAGTTGTTTAAAAACAATTTCCTCTAAAAGTTTTCCAAGGAAAGGTAGATTAGTAAAAAGGTCTGTAGTTGTTTAGCTCTGACAAATCTAAATTGGATTTCTTGAGCAGATGTTTAACCATAGAACTTTGACCTGCTATATTTAAAAAGTGCACTGAGATAACTTTTGTTATGAATTTGCGCAATACAAAAAAAAAGTTAATCGAAAATTGCGTGCCATACCCAAGGATTAGTTTTAAAGCAGAATCATTTTTATTTACAAGACAGTCAGAAGGCTGCTTCGTCTGGAAGAAAGATCCTTCTCCACCAGTGTTACAATGATGTGTTTTTATTACCAGCAAGACACCTTCTGATACTTTAATTCTGTATTTTGTGTTTTGTAACATACAGAAAGCTACCTTGTCATTTTGTCCCAACTGAATACAATTAATGTACTTTTAAATTATAGCTAATTGCTGTTAAGTTGTGATATCTCTACACATTTTCACATAACATCCCCTCCCACAATATGGGTGACTGAGTGACTACAAGTGGCACAGAGGAAATTCCCGCTCCCGCAGTGGAATAACAACACAAAATAATAATCAAGAAGTTCCGGCTGTCTTTGTCAGGGGCGACTGACAGCACACAGCTCATGAAGTGAAGGGGTGAGGAGGAAGCCCACAACTGGTGTGAGTTCCAGTTCATCCTCTGTAACTCCAGGTGGGGGAGTGAAACGAAAGCGCTGAAGGAGCGAGGTGAAGAAGAGAAAGAGCTCCATTCGCGCCAGGCTCTCTCCAAGACACACCCTGCGACCTGCAAGAACAAAGAGTTGCAACATGTTATCATGATCTTCACAATTGTTAAACATCTGTAGAGAAACTGATAAAGTTGTTGTACCTGCAGAAAAGGCATGAAGGCATCTCTTCTGATAAATTTACCCTGCCTTATCCAGGAATGTGGGCTCTCCCATTCGCTCTTATCATACAGGACAGAAGTAAGGAGAGGAAACACAGTAGTCCCCTGTAAACAAAGGAAGAAAGTAGCATGTATCATATAAAATCCTGGAAACAAAGCACTGCTTTCAAGAGTTTTCAGAGATGAACATGTCTCACAAAAAAAAGAAAAGAAGAGGATTGAATTGATATAGGCAACTGACCTCTTTGATAAAGTAGCCCTGGTAGGTGACGTCTCGACTGGTTTTATGAGGAATAGCCATGGGGACAACATTAGCCATTCTCTGTACTTCATGGAGGACAGCGTCAGTGTAGGGCAGGTTCTTCCTGTCCTCTACTCTGACTCGACGGCTTCCAACCACCCTGCTCAACTCCTCCTGGACCCGCTCTGAATGCATGTAGAATATGAATTAAATCTGATGAATATGCAATGCTACCTTAACCCAAATTTCATGTGAGAAATGTTAGCTGAGACAAGCATGTGGATGTGTTTTTGCACCTTGAATATGAGGGTACTTGGCAATGAAAAGTAGACACCACTGAAGTGTATTTCCTGTGGTATCAGTTCCAGCTGCAAACAGATTTATCACACTGTAGACCAGGTTGTCATCATGATAGTGTGACTCCTTGTTTTCAGACTCCTAGTTTAACATACAGAAAATATTATTATACTTGAATGAACTTGATCTGTATTATTTGTATTATCTGTATTATTATCAAGTTGGATGCCTCACCTCCAGATTTTGCTTACGTGTCAGGAATGCATCAACAAAGCATCTGCACATCTCAGGGTTCAGAGTCTTCTTCAGATCTGCTATGATGTGTTTTGTGTCCTCTATGTTTCTCTCCACATTCTT